TCTCTGTGTAGAGGTCACTCAGAGTCTCTGTGTAGGGTCACTCAGAGTCTCTGTGTAGAGGTCACTCAGAGTCTCTGTGTAGAGGTCACTCAGAGTCTCTGTGTAGGGGTCACTCAGAGTCTCTGTGTAGAGGTCACTCAGAGTCTCTGTGTAGGGTCACTCAGAGTCTCTGTGTAGAGGTCACTCAGAGTCTCTGTGTAGGGGTCACCAGAGTCTCCTGTGTAGGGGTCACTGGACAGAGTCTCCGTGTAGAGGTCACTCAGAGTCTCTGTGTAAGAGGTCACTCAGAGTCTCTGTGTAGGGGTCACTCAGAGTCTCCTGTGTAGGGGTCACTCAGAGTCTCTGTGTAGGGGTCACTGACAGAGTCTCTGTGTAGGGGTCACTCAGAGTCTCTGTGTAGAGGTCACTCAGAGTCTCTGTGTAGAGGTCACTCAGAGTCTCTGTGTAGAGGGTCACTCAGAGTCTCTGTGTAGAGGGTCACTCAGAGTCTCTGTGTAGGGGTCACTCAGAGTCTCTGTGTAGAGGGTCACTCAGAGTCTCTGTGTAGAGGTCACTCAGAGTCTCTGTGTAGGGGTCACTCAGAGTCTCTGTGTAGAGGTCACTCAGAGTCTCTGTGTAGGGGTCACTCAGAGTCTCTGTGTAGGGGTCACTCAGAGTCTCTGTGTAGAGGTCACTCAGAGTCTCTGTGTAGGGGTCACTCAGAGTCTCTGTGTAGAGGTCACTCAGAGTCTCTGTGTAGAGGTCACTCAGAGTCTCTGTGTAGGGGTCACTCAGAGTCTCTGTGTAGAGGTCACTCAGAGTCTCTGTGTAGGGGTCACTCAGAGTCTCTGTGTAGAGGTCACTCAGAGTCTCTGTGTAGAGGTCACTCAGAGTCTCTGTGTAGGGGTCACTGCAGAGTCTCTGTGTAGGGGTCACTCAGAGTCTCTGTGTAGGGGTCACTCAGAGTCTCTGTGTAGGGGTCACTCAGAGTATCTGTGTAGAGGTCACTCAGAGTCTCTGTGTAGAGGTCACTCAGAGTCTCTGTGTAGAGGGTCACTCAGAGTCTCTGTGTAGGGGTCACTCAGAGTCTCTGTGTAGAGGTCACTCAGAGTCTCTGTGTAGAGGTCACTCAGAGTCTCTGTGTAGGGGTCACTCAGAGTCTCTGTGTAGGGGTCACTCAGAGTCTCTGTGTAGAGGTCACTCAGAGTCTCTGTGTAGGAGGTCACTCAGAGTCTCTGTGTAGGGGTCACTCAGAGTCTCCTGTGTAGGGGTCACTCAGAGTCTCTGTGTAGGGGTCACTGACAGAGTCTCTGTGTAGGGGTCACTCAGAGTCTCTGTGTAGAGGTCACTCAGAGTCTCTGTGTAGGGGTCACTCAGAGTCTCTGTGTAGAGGTCACTCAGAGTCTCTGTGTAGGGGTCACTCAGAGTCTCTGTGTAGGGGTCACTCAGAGTCTCTGTGTAGAGGTCACTCAGAGTCTCTGTGTAGAGGTCACTCAGAGTCTCTGTGTAGGGGTCACTCAGAGTCTCTGTGTAGAGGTCACTCAGAGTCTCTGTGTAGGGGTCACTCAGAGTCTCCGTGTAGGGGTCACTGACAGAGTCTCTGTGTAGAGGTCACTCAGAGTCTCTGTGTAGGGGTCACTCAGAGTCTCTGTGTAGGGGTCACTCAGAGTCTCTGTGTAGAGGTCACTCAGAGTCTCTGTGTAGAGGTCACTCAGAGTCTCTGTGTAGAGGTCACTCAGAGTCTCTGTGTAGGGGTCACTCAGAGTCTGTGTGTAGAGGTCACTCAGAGTCTCTGTGTAGAGGTCACTCAGAGTCTCTGTGTAGGGGTCACTCAGAGTCTCCGTGTAGGGGTCACTCAGAGTCTCTGTGTAGGGGTCACTGACAGAGTCTCCGTGTAGGGGTCACTCAGAGTCTCTGTGTAGAGGTCACTCAGAGTCTCTGTGTAGGGGTCACTCAGAGTCTCTGTGTAGAGGTCACTCAGAGTCTCTGTGTAGGGGTCACTCAGAGTCTCTGTGTAGAGGTCACTCAGAGTCTCTGTGTAGAGGTCACTCAGAGTCTCTGTGTAGGGGTCACTCAGAGTCTCTGTGTAGAGGTCACTCAGAGTCTCTGTGTAGGGGTCACTCAGAGTCTCTGTGTAGAGGTCACTCAGAGTCTCTGTGTAGAGGTCACTCAGAGTCTCTGTGTAGGGGTCACTCAGAGTCTTTGTGTAGGGGTCACTCAGAGTCTCAGTGTAGGGGTCACTGAGAGTCTCTGTGTAGAGGTCACTCAGAGTCTCTGTGTAGGGGTCACTCAGAGTCTCTGTGTAGGGGTCACTCAGAGTCTCTGTGTAGAGGTCACTCAGAGTCTCTGTGTAGGGGTCACTCAGAGTCTCTGTGTAGGGGTCACTCAGAGTCTCTGTGTAGAGGTCACTCAGAGTCTCTGTGTAGAGGTCACTCAGAGTCTCTGTGTAGGGGTCACTCACAGTCTCTGTGTAGAGGTCACTCAGAGTCTCTGTGTAGGGGTCACTCAGAGTCTCTGTGTAGAGGTCACTCAGAGTCTCTGTGTAGAGGTCACTCAGAGTCTCTGTGTAGGGGTCACTGACAGAGTCTCTGTGTAGGGGTCACTCAGAGTCTCTGTGTAGGGGTCACTCAGAGTCTCTGTGTAGGGGTCACTCAGAGTATCTGTGTAGAGGTCACTCAGAGTCTCTGTGTAGAGGTCACTCAGAGTCTCTGTGTAGGGGTCACTCAGAGTCTCTGTGTAGGGGTCACTCAGAGTCTCTGTGTAGAGGGTCACTCAGAGTCTCTGTGTAGGGGTCACTCAGAGTCTCTGTGTAGGGGTCACTCAGAGTCTCTGTGTAGAGGTCACTCAGAGTCTCTGTGTAGGGGTCACTCAGAGTCTCTGTGTAGGGGTCACTCAGAGTCTCTGTGTAGAGGTCACTCAGAGTCTCTGTGGAGGGGTCACTCAGAGTCTCTGTGTAGGGGTCACTCAGAGTCTCTGTGTAGAGGTCACTCAGAGTCTCTCTGTAGGGGTCACTCAGAGTCTCTGTGTAGAGGTCACTCAGAGTCTCTGTGTAGGGGTCACTCAGAGTCTCTGTGTAGGGGTCACTCAGAGTCTCTGTGTAGAGGTCACTCAGAGTCTCTGTGTAGGGGTCACTCAGAGTCTCTGTGTAGGAGGTCACTCAGAGTCTCTGTGTAGAGGTCACTCAGAGTCTCTGTGTAGAGGTCACTCAGAGTCTCTGTGTAGGGGTCACTCAGAGTCTCTGTGTAGGGGTCACTCAGAGTCTCTGTGTAGAGGTCACTCAGAGTCTCTGTGTAGGGGTCACTCAGAGTCTCTGTGTAGAGGTCACTCAGAGTCTCTGTGTAGAGGTCACTCAGAGTCTCTGTGTAGAGGTTACTCAGAGTCTCTGTGTAGGGGTCACTCAGAGTCTCTGTGTAGGGGTCACTCAGAGTCTCTGTGTAGAGGTCACTCAGAGTCTCTGTGTAGGGGTCACTCAGAGTCTCTGTGTAGGGGTCACTCAGAGTCTCTGTGTAGAGGTCACTCAGAGTCTCTGTGTAGGGGTCACTCAGAGTCTCTGTGTAGAGGTCACTCAGAAGTCTCTGTGTAGGGGTCACTCAGAGTCTCTGTGTAGGGGTCACTCAGAGTCTCCGTGTAGAGGTCACTCAGAGTCTCTGTGTAGGGGTCACTCAGAGTCTCTGTGTAGAGGTCACTCAGAGTCTCTGTGTAGGGGTCACTCAGAGTCTCTGTGTAGGGGTCACTCAGAGTCTCTGTGTAGAGGTCACTCAGAGTCTCTGTGTAGGGGTCACTCAGAGTCTCTGTGTAGAGGTCACTCAGAGTTTCTGTGTAGGGGTCACTCAGAGTCTCTGTGTAGGGGTCACTCAGAGTCTCTGTGTAGAGGTCACTCAGAGTCTCTGTGTAGGGGTCACTCAGAGTCTCTGTGTAGAGGTCACTCAGAGTCTCTGTGTAGAGGTCACTCAGAGTCTCTGTGTAGAGGTCACTCAGAGTCTCTGTGTAGGGGTCACTCAGAGTCTCTGTGTAGAGGTCACTCAGAGTCTCTGTGTAGAGGTCACTCAGAGTCTCTGTGTAGGGGTCACTCAGAGTCTCTGTGTAGGGGTCACTCAGAGTCTCTGTGTAGAGGTCACTCAGAGTCTCTGTGTAGGGGTCACTCAGAGTCTCTGTGTAGAGGTCACTCAGAGTCTCTGTGTAGGGGTCACTCAGAGTCTCTGTGTAGGGGTCACTCAGAGTCTCCGTGTAGAGGTCACTCAGAGTCTCTGTGTAGGGGTCACTCAGAGTCTCTGTGTAGAGGTCACTCAGAGTCTCTGTGTAGGGGTCACTCAGAGTCTCTGTGTAGGGGTCACTCAGAGTCTCTGTGTAGAGGTCACTCAGAGTCTCTGTGTAGGGGTCACTCAGAGTCTCTGTGTAGAGGTCACTCAGTGTCTCTCTGTAGGGGTCACTCAGAGTCTCTGTGTAGGGGTCACTCAGAGTCTCTGTGTAGAGGTCACTCAGAGTCTCTGTGTAGGGGTCACTCAGAGTCTCTGTGTAGGGGTCACTCAGAGTCTCTGTGTAGAGGTCATTCACTGAGCACGCGAACTCAGATTCGTTGGAGCGGGCAGAGTTTTAATTCTTTAATGCAGCAGCAGCAGCAACGTGACTGACAGAGCGCAGGTCTCCATGTAGCTGGGTGTGTGGGTGGGTGAGTGAGTGGGTGGGTGAGTGGGTGGGTGAGTGTGTGGGTGGGTAAGTGTGTGGGTGAGTGGGTGGGTGTGTGGGTGGGCGAGTGAGTGGGTGGGCGAGTGTGTGTGTGTGTGGGTGAGTGGGTGGGTGAGTGAGTGGGTGGGTGAGTGTGTGTGGGTGAGTGGGTGGGTGAGTGGGTGGGTGAGTGAGTGGGCGAGTGTGTGAGTGGGTGGGCGAGTGTGTGGGCGAGTGTGTGGGTGAGTGGGTGGGTGGGTGAGTGGGTGGGTGGGTGAGTGGGTGGGTGAGTGGGTGGGTGAGTGTGTGGGCGAGTGTGTGGGTGAGTGGGTGGGTGGGTGAGTGGGTGGGTGGGTGAGTGGGTGGGTGAGTGTGTGGGTGGGCGAGTGTGTGGGCGAGTGTGTGTGTGAGTGGGCGGGCGAGTGTTTTGACGAGTGCGTGCGGGCGATCACCTTCCAGTAACACATCATCCCTCACCCACAGTGTTGGGTACATCCGTGTGCACACCCCACCCACCCCACCCACCCACCTCACCCACCCACCTCACCCACCCACCCCCCCCCCAACAGCTCAGATGGTGACCTGGGTGCGGAAGGCCGCGGGCGTCGCCCCGAGGGCCCCGGCCGCGCGCCGCCGCACGGTGAGCGTGAGGGCCCCCCCGGGGCCCAGGGCGGCCCCCAGCGAGGTGGGGTCAGCGTCTTCAGGGAGACGCACGCGGTGGTGGAACGACGCCGACACGCGGCCATCGTCAGCCAGCTGAGTGGGGGAGGGTGGGGCGGGGGAGAGAGAGAGAGGTTGTGATTGGTGGGGGGTGGGGGGGGGATTAGGAGGGGGGCGTGGTTTGGGAGGAGGAGGGAGGGGATTAGGAGGGGGCGTGGTTTGGGAGGAGGAGGGAGGGGATTAGGAGGAGGCGTGGTTTGGGAGGAGGAGGGGAGGGAATTAGAAGGGGGCGTGGTTTGGGAGGAGGGGATTAGGAGGGGGCGTGGTTTTGGAGGAGGGGATTAGGAGGGGGCGTGGTTTTGAAGTAGGGGGGGGAGGGGATTAGGAGGGGGCGTGATTTTACGGGGGGGAGGGGATTAGGAGGGGGCGTGGTTTGGGAGGAGGAGGGGGGGAGGGGATTAGTAGGGGGCGTGGTTTGGGAGGAGGAGGGAGGGGATTAGGAGGGGGCGTGGTTTTGGAGGAGGAGGGGATTAGGAGGGGGCGTGGTTTTACGGGGGGAGGGGATTAGGAGGGGGCGTGGTTTGGGAGGAGGGGGGGAGGGGATTAGGAGGGGGCGTGGTTTGGGAGGAGGGGGGAGGGGATTAGAAGGGGGCGTGGTTTTGCGGGGGAGGGATTAGGAGGGGGCGTGGTTTTGAAGTAGGGGGGAGGGGATTAGGAGGGGGCGTGGTTTTGAAGTAGGGGGGAGGGGATTAGGAGGGGGCGTGGTTTTCGCGGGGGGGGAGGGGATTAGCAGGGGGCGTGGTTTGGGAGGAGGGGATTAGGAGGGGGTGATTTTGGAGGAGGGGGGGTGAGAAGATAAGGAGGGGGTGTGATTTTGTAGGAGGGAAACGATAGGGAAGGGGCGTGGTTTTGAAAGAGGGGGAGGGGGCTTTGAGGGGGCGTGGTTTTGAAGGAGGGGGTTATGAGAGGGCGTGGTTTTGGAGGGGGGAAGAGAATAGAAGGAGGGGGCGTGGTTTTGGAGGAGGGGAGGGGGCGTGGTTTTGGAGGTGGGGAGAGGTCGGGGAGAGGTGGGGGGAGGTTAGGACGGGGCGTGGTTTCGGAGGAGGGGGTGGGGTTTATGAGGGGGCAGGGTTTACAACGAGGGCGTGGTTTGGTAAAGGGGATGGGGATTAGCAAGAGGGGGCGGAGTTTGTGGAAGGGGGGCGGGGATTAGGAGGCGGGTGAGTGTGAGCGAGTGGGTGAGTGGTACCGGACGGGCAACTCTGTCGTGGACAGTGCTGTGGGGGGAGGGCCAATTCCGATTGGCTCCTCCCCTCATGGCGTCTGTGTCCACCACAGTGGCTAAACGGGGGCTCTGGACGGGTGCGAGGGGCTGGTAACCCCTCCACCTTCAATAAATTACCACGAAACCACGAATTAAATATGCAACTAATAAGCTTGTGGGGGGACAGGCGTCTATGACGTCTCCTGGCCAAACCCCAAATGGCGGAGCCAGGAGATTGAATCTCTACCCTCGGGGCTCCTCCAGAAACAACGAAAAGCTACTTCGTGTGGCCACGTGGAATGTTCGAACGCTCACTGCGAAGGAGAGGCTGCCACTCCTCCGTCGGGAGCTGGACCGGTACTGCCCGGATCTCTGCGGCATTCAGGAGGTTCGGTGGACCGGCTCTGGCTCCTGCCACCATGAGGGGTGGACAGTCCTCTACTCGGGGCAGCAGACTGCCAAACAACAGGGTGTGACTCTTCTTTTGAACAAAAGAATGAAGGGTGCGTGGGAGCGTGGCGGTGAGGTGTGGGAAGCTGTAAGCCCCAGGCTACTTTGGGCTTGCCTTCCCATCAACCGGAGGCGAGGAGTGGTGGTCGTGGTTACTTATGCCCCCACCGAAGACGAACATCCGTGGAGGGATGCAGGCAAAGCCGATGAGTCAGATGCCTTCTATGACCTCCTGTCACAGGTGCTGGCTAAAGAGGCCCCTCGGGATAGAGTCATCTTATTGGGTGACTTTAATGCCCGAGTTGGTCATGATGCTGGCACCTGGTCTGGAGTGATTGGAGGGCATGGACCAGATCAGAGTGAGTTTGTGAGTGAGTGAGTGGGTGAGTGGGTGAGTGAGTGGGTGAGTGAGTGAGTGGGTGAGTGAGTGGGTGAGTGAGTGAGTGAGTGGGTGAGTGAGTGAGTGAGTGGGTGAGTGAGTGAGTGAGTGGATGAGTGAGTGAGTGAGTGGGTGATTGAGTGAGTGGGTGAGTGAGTGAGTGGGTGAGTGTGTGGGTTAGTGAGTGAGTGAGTGGGTGAGTGAGTGAGTGGGTGAGTGAGTGGGTGAGTGAGTGGGTGAGTGAGTGGGTGAGTGGGTGAGTGAGTGGGTGAGTGAGTGAGTGAGTGAGTGGGTGAGTGAGTGAGTGGGTGAGTGAGTGAGTGGGTGAGTGAGTGAGTGGGTGAGTGAGTGAGTGAGTGAGTGGGTGAGTGAGTGAGTGGGTGATTGAGTGAGTGGGTGAGTGAGTGAGTGGGTGAGTGTGTGGGTTAGTGAGTGAGTGAGTGGGTGAGTGAGTGAGTGAGTGGGTGAGTGAGTGGGTGAGTGAGTGAGTGAGTGGGTGAGTGAGTGGGTGAGTGAGTGAGTGAGTGGGTGAGTGAGTGGGTGAGTGAGTGGGTGAGTGAGTGAGTGAGTGGGTGAGTGGGTGAGTGAGTGGGTGAGTGAGTGGGTGAGTGAGTGGGTGAGTGAGTGAGTGGGTGAGTGCGTGGGTGAGTGGGTGAGTGAGTGAGTGGGTGAGTGAGTGAGTGAGTGGGTGAGTGAGTGAGTGAGTGGATGAGTGAGTGGGTGAGTGAGTGGGTGAGTGGGTGAGTGAGTGGGTGAGTGAGTGAGTGGGTGAGTGAGTGGGTGAGTGAGTGAGTGGGTGAGTGAGTGAGTGGGTGAGTGAGTGAGTGAGTGGGTGAGTGAGTGAGTGGGTGATTGAGTGAGTGGGTGAGTGAGTGAGTGGGTGAGTGTGTGGGTTAGTGAGTGAGTGAGTGGGTGAGTGAGTGAGTGAGTGGGTGAGTGAGTGGGTGAGTGAGTGAGTGAGTGGGTGAGTGAGTGGGTGAGTGAGTGAGTGAGTGGGTGAGTGAGTGGGTGAGTGAGTGGGTGAGTGAGTGAGTGAGTGGGTGAGTGAGTGAGTGGGTGAGTGAGTGGGTGAGTGAGTGGGTGAGTGAGTGAGTGAGTGGGTGAGTGAGTGAGTGAGTGGGTGAGTGAGTGGGTGAGTGAGAGGGTGAGTGAGTGGGTGAGTGAGTGAGTGAGTGGGTGAGTGCGTGGGTGAGTGGGTGAGTGAGTGAGTGGGTGAGTGAGTGGGTGAGTGAGTGAATGGGTGAGTCAGTGGGTGAGTGAGTGAGTGAGTGGGTGAGTGAGTGGGTGAGTGAGTGAGTGGGTTAGTGAGTGAGTGGGTGAGTGAGTGAGTGGGTGAGTGAGTGAGTGGGTGATTGAGTGAGTGGGTGAGTGAGTGAGTGGGTGAGTGTGTGGGTTAGTGAGTGAGTGAGTGGGTGAGTGAGTGAGTGAGTGGGTGAGTGAGTGAGTGGGTGACTGAGTGAGTGAGTGGGTGAGTGAGTGAGTGGGTGAGTGAGTGAGTGAGTGGGTGAGTGAGTGGGTGAGTGAGTGGGTGAGTGAGTGAGTGAGTGGGTGAGTGAGTGGGTGAGTGAGTGGGTGAGTGAGTGAGTGGGTGAGTGATTGAGTGGGTGAGTGGGTGAGTGAGTGGGTGAGTGAGTGGGTGAGTGAGTGGGTGAGTGAGTGAGTGGGTGAGTGCGTGGGTGAGTGGGTGAGTGAGTGAGTGGGTGAGTGAGTGGGTGAGTGAGTGGGTGAGTGAGTGGGTGAGTGAGTGGGTGAGTGGGTGAGTGCGTGGGTGAGTGGGTGAGTGAGTGAGTGGGTGAGTGAGTGGGTGAGTGAGTGGGTGAGTGAGTGAGTGGGTGAGTGAGTGGGTGAGTGAGTGGGTGAGTGAGTGGGTGAGTGAGTGGGTGAGTGAGTGAGTGAGTGGGTGAGTGCGTGGGTGAGTGCGTGGGTGAGTGAGTGAGTGGGTGAGTGAGTGGGTGAGTGAGTGGGTGAGTGAGTGGGTGAGTGAGTGAGTGGGTGAGTGAGTGGGTGAGTGAGTGGGTGAGTGAGTGGGTGAGTGAGTGGGTGAGTGAGTGAGTGAGTGAGTGGGTGAGTGAGTGGGTGAGTGAGTGGGTGAGTGAGTGAGTGGGTGAGTGAGTGGGTGAGTGAGTGGGTGAGTGTGTGGGTTAGTGAGTGAGTGAGTGGGTGAGTGAGTGAGTGAGTGGGTGAGTGAGTGGGTGGGTGAGTGAGTGGGTGAGTGAGTGAGTGAGTGGGTGAGTGAGTGGGTGAGTGGGTGGTGAGTGTGCGACTCACCCGCTCTGCGTGAACCTCCGTAACAAGGCTGGACGAGGTGACGACGATGTCTTCCGGGGTGAAGCCGTCTCCGACTTGCACACTCACCTCGTAATTCTCACCCACCAGCCTTACCGGCATGCTCACCCCGCCTGCTTGGGTCAGTAGGGGCGAGGGGTTTGTGAGAGATTGAGGACATGGATCCAGCCGGCTCATCCGCCCGCTTACCCAACCACTCACTCACCCACTCACCCACCCACCCACCCAACCACTCACCCACCCACCCAACCACTCACCCACCCACTCACCCGCTCACTCACCCACCCACCCACCCAACCACTCACCCACCCACTCACCCACCCACTCACTCACTCACCCACCCACTCACTCACTCAATCACTCACCCACTCACTCACCCACTCACCCACTCACTCACCCACTCACCCACTCACTCACCACTCACTCACCCATTCACTCACTCACCCACTCACCCATTCACTCACCCACTCACTCACCCACTCACTCACCCACTCACTCACCCACTCATCCCCCCACTCATCCACTCACCCATCCACTCACCCACCCACTCATCCACTCACCTAACAACTCACTCACCCACTCACCCACACACTCATCCACTCACCCACCCACTCACCCACCCACTCATCCACCCACTCATCCACTCACCCACCCACTCACCCACCCACTCACCCACCCACTCACCCACCCACTCACCCAAGAATCCACGCAATCACCCACCCAACTACTCACCCACTCACTCACCTACTCACCCATTCACCCACCCACCCACTCACCCCGCCATTCGCCACTAAGTGGCGGTGACGTCACCACGACGCTTGTGCCAGGCTATGTGCACCCTGAGGCCACGTGAAGTGTCGAACGCCCGCTGCCAAAGAAGTCACGGGGCAGACCCAGGTGCCACGGGTCGACTGACTGAGATGACTGAGATGACTGGATGATGCACCACCTGTGCCCCCTACTGTGCCAACCTGCTGTGCTTTAGCCACCCGGCGCTCCGCTCGTTGTTGTGAGTGTCGCTCCTACCCCCTCCGTTGTTGTTGGAGGGCGACTGTCTCCAACTGCCCAGTAGCGTCCTTCACGAGCCTCCTCCACAGAGGCCGATCTTGACAACACTGGTACCAGTCATCGGCAAGTCCACTCAGCTCCACGTCCTCTTGTACCACATCACTCCATCTCTTCTTTAGCCCATGCCGCGCCCGTTTAGCCCCCTCGATCCGGCCGATCAAAAGCTGTTTAGGCATGCGGTGGCTGGGCATGTGGGCTACATGACCCAGCCAACGCAGCCTTGCCTGCCGGAGGAGCTCACCGATGGGACTTTGTCCAGATCTTTCAAGGATTCGTGAGGTCCTCACACAATCCAGCCTGGTTAAACCCAGGATGGACGTAGGCAGGCCAGCCTAAGTGTTTCTAACTGGCGAAGTTGTTCCATTAGGGGAGTCCACGTTTCGCAAGCGTAGAGAAGGGAGGGAATGACCGTGGCCGAGAAGACCCGAAGCTTCGTGCGGGGCGACAGACCAGGTAGCTTCCACACAGCGTTCCACAACCGTTGAAAATATTATGCCGCTCGTCTGAATCAGAGTGAGACATCTGCTGTTAAACCGGAGCCGGTCATGAGCACACTGCCCAGGTATGGAAAACACTCCACTCTCTCCATAATTGCCCCATCACCAATTGCGAGCGGTGGGGGTGGAGTGTCCGAAATACCCAGGCAGGTGCTTAGTTTTGGTGGGGCTGATGGTAAGGCGCCATCTCTTAGTAGCACGCTCCAGTCTCAGCAGCAGCGTCTCCAACTCCTCCTCTGAGTTAGCAGCAATTACCAGATCATAACATGATTAAGTAATAGGGAGCCATCCCTTGACCGCACCCGGGCATCGATCAGCCTCCTATTGTATCTGTACCAGATGGAAATTCCTCTGGTACAGCTATTGACGGCTTCACGAACTACGTGGTCGAAATAGATGTGAAATAATGTGTGAGCCAGAGGACATCCCTGTTGCACCCCAAGGTGTACAGGGAATGGCTCTGACTCCCGGCCACGTAGTTTTACCCGGGCCCACTCACCATCATGAAGATCCTTAATGATCGTGAGCAGAGGGTCAGGGACTCTGAAACCACGAAGAACAACCCAGAGCCCAGGCCTACTGATGGTACGATAAGCCTTGACCAGGTCAATAAAACGGAGATGTTGGTCTTGTTGGAATTCCCTACTCTGCTGTAGCAGACGGACAGAAATTATGGCATCTGTGCAGGACCGCCCTTTCCTGAAACCACATTGGGGCTCCGCAAGCCTCTCCTCAGCGTGCCTGGCAAGGCGATGTTGAATAATTCTTGAAAGGACCTTTCCCAGCACACTGAAGAGTGAGATGCCCCTGTAGTTGTTACAGTCTGTGCAGTCCCCCTTCTTAAAGAGGGGGACCACCAGGGCATCCTTCCAATCCTGCAGAACCCGTCCAATGGTCCAGACTGTTGTTATGATGTCATGTAGGGCAGTCTGTGCACAAACGCCACCCTCCCTCAGCATTTCGTTTGGGAGATCATCTCTGCCCGGTGCCTTTCCTGGTCTTAGACTCTGGATCGCCTTCAGTACTTCCTCAACAGATGGCACCTCAGCCAGCCATTCACAGGGGGTGACTTCTTCCAATATTTGAGGCACCACAGCCTCAGCAGGGCCATCCCCACTTTGTCCCACGATATCTTCTAGGCTGAGGAATTTCCCCTCCCCCAGGACCTCACAGAAATGCTCAGCAAATCTGCAAACCTGTTCCTGGGGGTCGGAGATTGGATCACCGTTCTTTATCCTAATGATGGTAATAGGTGTGGCGCTGCAGGTTACTTTTTTGATAGAGTTAAATAGAGATTTGTGATTGCGGGCAACTGAGGCAGACTCCATCTCCTCAGCAACCCGCGACCACCACCTATCCTTGTAGTGCCTCACGGCTCCCTGAACCTCCGAGCGAAGGCTGCGGTAAGCCTCCTCATTCCCTGACGTGGGATTCTATAGCCGATGACAGTGGGCCTGTCGCTTTTTCTCAACCATCCTGAACACCTCCTCTGTCAGCCAGGGTCTCTGGGGAGGTCTGGACCGCGTACCCAAAGCAGCCATTGCAGCTGCATGAGTCACAGTCCTAAACCTCGTCCATTTACCCTCGACATCAGGAGGAGTGGGGGATGATGCCAACCCCAGCCGCAAGCGATGATTAAATTCTCGCTTGCAGCTTTCATCAGCTAGCTGAGACCATGCCACTATGGGTTTGAATGGGTCATGGGTGTACACCCACCACCGGAGTGGAAGAATGACAGGTGCATCTTACAGATGACAAGTCGATGGTCAGTGGGCAGATCAGCTCCAAGGTAGGTCCTGGTGTCAAGGACATGGGCCCGCATCCGCTGGTTCGTCACTATGTAGTCCAGCAGAAGTGCTTACTTAGACCCGGCATGCATCCATGATGATGTGTGGATGCGCCGATGCCGGAACAGCGTGTTGGTAATTACAAGCCCATGGGCTGTACAAAAATCTAGCAGCCTCCTACCGCTGTTATTGAGCTGATCTGGCCCATGCCCTCCAATCACTCCAGACCAGGTGCCAGCATCATGACCAACTCGGGCATTGAAGTCACCCAACAAGATGACTCTATCCCGAGGGGCCTCTTTAGCCAGCACCTGTGACAGACAAGAGGCCATAGAAGGCATCTGACTCATCGGCTTTGCCTCCATCCCTCCACGGATGTTCGTCTTCAATGGGGGCATAAGTAACCACGACCACCATTCCTCGCCTCCGGTTGATGGGAAGGCGAGCCCAAAGTAGCCTGGGACTTACAGCTTCCCACACCTCACCGCCACGCTCCCACGCCCCCATCATTCTTTTGTTCAGATGAAGAGCCACACCCTGTTGTTTGGCGGTCTGCTGCCCCGAGTAGAGGACTGTCCACCCCTCATGGTGGCAGGAGCGAGAACCGGTCCACCGAACCTCCTGAATGCCACAGAGATCCAGGCGGGACCGGTCCAGCTCCCGACAGAGCAGTGGCAGCTTTTCCTCCGCAGTGAGCATTCGTACATTCCACGTGGCCATCCGTAGTGGCTTTTCGTTGTTTCTGGAGAAGCCCCGAGGGAAAAGAATCAATCTTCTGGCTCCGCCAATTGGGGTTTGGCCAGGAGACGTCATGGACGCCTGTCCCCCGGGGGCCTCGGGCACAAGCTTATTAATTAGATATTTCAGTCGTGGTTTAGTGGTAATTAGTTGAAGGTGGAGGGGTTACCAGCCCCTCGCACCCGTTCAGAGCCCCCGTTTAGCCACTGTGGTGGTCACAGACGCCATGAGGGGAGGAGCCAATCGGAATTGGACCTCCCCCCACAGCACTGTCCACGACAGCATTGGCGTCCAGCACCACGAGGAGGTAGGGGGTTGTTTTTGCCGGACCCACCCACTCACTCACCCACCCCACCGACCCACCCACCCACCCCCTAATCCTCCCACCCACCGACCCACCCACCCACTCACCCACTCACTCACTCACTCAACCACCCACTCACCCACTCACTCACTCACTCACCCACTCACCCACCCACTCACCCACTCACTCACTCACCCACCCACCCACTCACCCACTCACTCACTCACCCACACACTCACTCACTCACCCACTCATTCACCCACTCACCCACTCACCCACCCACCCACTCACCCACTCACCCACCCACCCACTCACCCACTCACCCACTCACTCACTCACTCACCCACACACTCACTCACTCACCCACTCACTCACCCACTCACCCACTCACCCACCCACTCACTCACTCACCCACCCACTCACTCACCCATGAGCGGCTGATTCGACTCGCCGAGCAGGGAGAACGGCGCTCCGCCGTCGCTGGCGATAAGGAGACGTCCACCAGCCGTCGACCCCCTCTGCACCAAGTTCCGCTCCGATCGGAATGTGGAGGTGGACGAGGTGGACGAGGTGGAGGAGTTGGAACTCCACTTACTCATTGCTGCCGCGGACTCACGGACACACGCAGAGACCCACGGACTCATCACACACAGAGACTCACAGACTCATCACATAGAGACCCACAGACTCACCAGACAGAGACCCACAGACTCATCACACAGAGACTCACCACAAAGAGACCCACAGACTCACCACACAAAGACCCACAGACTCACCAAAGAGACCCACAGACTCATCACACAGAGACCCACAGACTCACCAAAGAGACCCACAGACTCATCACACAGAGACCCACAGACTCACCACGCAGAGACCCACAGACTCACCAGACAGAGACCCACAGACTCACCACACAGAGACTCACAGACTCACCACGCAGAGACCCACAGACTCACCACACACAGAGACCCACAGACTCACCACACTCACCACACAGAGACCCACAGACTCACCACACAGAGACCCACAGACTCACCACACAGAGACCCACAGACTCACCACACAAAGACTCACAGGCTCACCACACAGAAACCCACAGACTCACACACAGAGACCCTCAGACTCATCACACAGAAACCCACAGACTCACCACAGAGACCCACAGACTCATCACACAGAGACCCACGGATTCGCCACACAGAGACCCACAGACTCACCACACAGAGACCCACAGACTCATCACACAGAGACCCACAGATTCACCACATAGAGACCCACAGACTCACCACACAGAGGCCCACAGATACACCACGCAGAAACCCACAGACTCACCATACAGAGACCCACAGACTCATCACACAGAGACCCACAGATTCGCCACACAGAGACACACACAGACTCACCACACAGAGACCCACAGACTCACCACACAGAGACCCACAGGCTCACCACACAGAGACCCACAGACTCACCACACAGAGACCCACAGACTCACCTCACAGAGACCCAAAGTCTCACCACACAGAGACCCACAGATTCATCACACAGACACCCACAGACTCACCACACAAATACCAACAGTCTCACCACACAGAGAACCATAGACTCACCACACAGACACCCACAGACTCACCACACAAAGACCCACAAACTCACCACACAGAGACCCACAAACTCACCACACAGAGACCCACAGACTCACCACACAGAGACCCACAGATTCACCACGCAGAGACCCACAGACTCACCACACAGAGACCAACAGACTCACCACACACAGACCCACAGACTCACCACACAGATACCCACAGACTCATCACACAGATACCCACAGACTCAGCACAAAGAGACCCACAGACTCACCACACAAAGACCCACAGACTCACCACAGAGACCCACAGACTCATCACACAGAGACCCACAGATTCACCACACAGAAACCCACAGACTCAACACAGAGACCCACAGACTCACCACACAGAGACCCACAGACTCACCACACAGAGACCCACAGACTCACCACACAGAGACCCACAGACTCATCACACAGAGACCCACAGACTCACCACAGAGACCCACAGACTTATCACACAGAGACCCACAGATGCACCACACAGAGACCCACAGACTCACCACACAGAGACCCAGAGACTCACCACACAGAGACCCACAGACTCACCACAGAGACCCACAGACTCACCACACAGGGACCCACAGACTTACCACACAGAGACCCACAGACTCACCAGACAGAGACCCACAGACTCACCACACAGAGACCCCCAGACTCACCACACAGCGACCCACAGACTCACCACACAGAGACCCACAGACTCACCACACATAGACCCACAGACTCACCATACAGAGACCCACAGACTCACCACACAGAGACCCACAGACTCACCACACAGCGACCCACAGACTCATCACACAGAGACCCACAGATTCACCACACAGAGACCCACAGACTCACCACACAGAGACCCACAACTCACCACACAAAGACCCACAGACTCACCACAGAGACCCACAGACTCATCACACAGAGACGCAGAGATTCACCACACAGAGACCCACAGTCTCACCACACAGAGACCCACAGACTCACCACACAGACACCCACAGACTCACCACACAGAGACCCACATACTCATCACACAGAGACCCACAGATTCACCACACAGAGACCCACAGTCTCACCACACAGAGACCCACAGACTCACCACACAGAGACACACACAGATACACCACACAGAGACCCACAGACTCACCCCACAGAGACCCACAGACTCATCACACAGAGACCCACAGACTCACCACAGAGACCCACAGACTCATCACACAGAGACCCACAGATTCGCCACACAGAGACCCACAGACTCACCACACAGAGACCCACAGACTCACCACACAGAGACACACACAGACTCACCACACAGAGACCCACAGACTCACCACACAGAGACCCACAGACTCACCACACAGATACCCACAGACTCACCACACAGACACCCAAAGACTCACCACACAAAGACCCACAGTCTCACCACACAGAGACCCACAGACTCACCACACAGACACCCACAGACTCACCACACAAAGACCCACAGACTCACCACACAGAGATCTACAGACTCACCACACAGAGACCCACAAACTCACCAAAGAGAGACCCACAGACTCACCACACAGAGACCCACAGATTCACCACACAGAGACCAACAGACTCACCACACACAGACCCACAGACTCACCACACAGATACCCACAGACTCATCACACAGATACCCACAGACTCACCACACAGAGACCCACAGACTCACCAAACAAAGACCCACAGACTCACCACAAAGACCCACAGACTCATCACACAGAGACCCACAGATTTACCACACAGAGGCCCACAGACTCTACACAGAGACCCACAGACTCACCACACAGAGACCCACATACTCACCACACAGAGACCCACAGACTCACCACACAGAGACTCACAGACTCATCACACAGAGACCCACAGACTCACCACAGAGACCCACAGACTCATCACACAGAGACCCACAGATGTACCACACAGAGACCCACAGACTCACCACACAGAGACCCAGAGACTCACCACACAGAGACCCACAGACTCACCACAGAGACCCACAGACTCACCACACAGAGACCCACAGTCTCACCACACAGAGACCCACAGACTCACCACACAGAGACCCACAGACTCACCACACAGCGACCCACAGACTCACCACACAGAGACCCATAGACTCACCACACATAGACCCACAGACTCACCACACAGAGACCCACAGACTCACCACACAGAGACCCACAGACTCACCACACAGCGACCCACAGACTCATCACACAGAGACCCACAGATTCACCACACAGAGACCCACAGACTCACCACACATAGACGCACAGACTCATCACACAGATACCCACAGACTCACCACACAGAGACCCAAAAACTCACCACACAAAGACCCACAGACTCACCACAGAGACCCACAGACTCATCACACAGAGACCCACAGATTCACCACAAAGAGACCCACAGACTCACCACACAGAGACCCAGAGACTCACCACACAGAGACCCACAGACTCACCACAGAGACCCACAGACTCACCACACAGAGACCCACAGACTCACCACACAGAGACCAACAGAATCACCAGAAAGAGACCCACAGACTCACCACACATAGACCCACAGACTCACCACACAGAGACCCACAGACTCACCACACAGAGACCCACAGACTCACCACACAGCGACCCACAGACTCATCACACAGAGACCCACAGATTCACCACACAGAGACCCACAGACTCACCACACAGAGACCCACAACTCACCACACAAAGACCCACAGACTCACCACAGAGACCCACAGAATCATCACACAGAGACGCAGAGATTCACCACACAGAGACCCACAGTCTCACCACACAGAGACCCACAGACTCACCACACAGACACCCACAGACTCACCACACAGAGACCCACATACTCATCACACAGAGACCCACAGATTCACCACACAGAGACCCACAGTCTCACCACACAGAGACCCACAGACTCACCACACAGAGACCCACAGACTCATCACACAGAGACCCACAGACTCACCACAGAGACCCACAGACTCATCACACAGAGACCCACAGATTCGCCACACAGAGACCCACAGACTCACCACACAGAGACCCACAGACTCACCACACAGAGACACACACAGACTCACCACACAGAGACCCACAGACTCACCACACAGAGACCCACAGACTCACCACACAGATACCCACAGACTCACCACACAGACACCCAAAGACTCACCACACAAAGACCCACAGTCTCACCACACAGAGACCCACAGACTCACCACACAGACACCCACAGACTCACCACACAAAGACCCACAGACTCACCACACAGAGATCTACAGACTCACCACACAGAGACCCACAAACTCACCAAAGAGAGACCCACAGACTCACCACACAGAGACCCACAGATTCACCACACAGAGACCAACAGACTCACCACACACAGACCCACAGACTCACCACACAGATACCCACAGACTCATCACACAGATACCCACAGACTCACCACACAGAGACCCACAGACTCACCAAACAAAGACCCACAGACTCACCACAAAGACCCACAGACTCATCACACAGAGACCCACAGATTTACCACACAGAGGCCCACAGACTCTACACAGAGACCCACAGACTCACCACACAGAGACCCACAGACTCACCACACAGAGACCCACAGACTCACCACACAGAGACTCACAGACTCATCACACAGAGACCCACAGACTCACCACAGAGACCCACAGACTCATCACACAGAGACCCACAGATGTACCACACAGAGACCCACAGACTCACCACACTGAGACCCACAGACTCACCACACAGAGACCCACAGACTCACCACAGAGACCCACAGACTCACCACACAGAGACCCACAGTCTCACCACACAGAGACCCACAGACTCACCACACAGAGACCCACAGACTCACCACACAGGGACCCACAGACTCACCACACAGAGACCCATAGACTCACCACACATA